CTTTTTTATATTGTATACCTTAGACCTGATGTTAGCCTTTCTTTATTACTATTGTTGTAGTACTCTCTAGTACATTGTACTTTGTACATCTATGCAACTATCCCCCGGGGAATAAACATGCAATAAAGTTTTATCATCTTCATTACAATAAACCACCCCATATTGTTGGAGATTGACGGTCAGGTTAAGACCCAGGTTCTTGCACGTTTCTACGTTTTGGAATACAGCACCTCGTAACATCACATCTAGACCACGATTCGGAGTGTCTCAAAATGTGGTAGACCACGCAGTAAAACGTACAAAGCCACATGTACAGTGGGTCGCCAGAGACTGCATGTTTGCCTGTCTGTATGTCTGTTGTCTGTATGTGTGCGCATGTGTTAAGAGGAGGGTTTAGAACCGAAACAAGTGATTGAGAAAACGTAAATCATGCACTGAAGCTAGGTGGTACAGGGTAGCTGTACACTGAAGCTAGGTGTTACTGGTTCACCATGCACGAAATATAGGCGTTACTGGCTCACTATGCACTGATACTGCTAATAGTGCAGTAAAGTAATCATGACATACACAGGGTTCTTTCTTACTTTCTTGTTTGCATCCCTGAGTCTTCGAGCGCCTGTCTCGCCCTCCGTGCCGTATATGATGACGCCGACGTTTGACGCCGTCCCCGCGCCCAGACGCTGTCCGGTGGTGATGTTCACAAGGTAACCACAGGTGTCTCCTGGTCGGTTACCTTCGACAGGCGACACTGCCCACTTACACAGCAAACAACGTTGTACGTTAATACGTTGATGAAAGTTAGACATGTAGGTGAACAATAATAGTTTGTGTTTCTATGTTTGTACCGATGTTTTCTATGGTTGAAATACCCGAAATAAAGTCATTCATTCATTCGATATTCATAGGAAATTCAAACTCTACTACTGGATAAAATTTGGGCTCCATTTCAAAATTATTGTGTACAATGACAGTCTCTCCCGGGCTGTGGATCAGTTCCTAGGACACGGTTTTGACACAATTTGATACTGTTTTTTTAAGGGCAACATTTGCCTCAATTGAATATCCTCGAATTGACACATTCTTTCTGGCACCATTTTGGAAGTTGTTTCCAGTTATAAGTACCTTGGCGTTTGGCTTGACTCCAGCTTAACATGGCAAGTTCACATTGACAAGTTGTGTAATGCGGTCTCTTCCAGACTGGGAGTCATACGACGCCTCATCCCATGTCTGCCCCAACACACTCTTATAATGTTGTTTAACTGTATAGTCCTACCTAAAATAGACTACTGTGATGTGATATGGGGAAACTGTGGTAAATGCTTGTCTGACAAATTGCAAAAATACCAGAACCGGGCAGTGAGAATTATCCTTCGTTTACGTTATACACATCATGTTGGCGATGGTGAGTTATCTACCCTAGGTTGGAAAACTTTATCATCCCGGAGAAACTTGCACCTGCTACAATCAATGTACAAGGCAGTCAACAATGAACTCCCAGACTACATAGATAACTTCCAGATGGCTTTTGAATCCCACAGATACCCCACCAGACACAGCCAGAACCTATCTTTGAAACTGCCGCTTGTTCGCCTTGAATGTGGAAAGCGCAAATTCTCCTACAGAGGCCCTGCCCTCTGGAACAGGCTGCCAACTGCTATTAAGACCTGTCCGTCCATGTCCATTTTTAAAATGAAATGTAAGAATTGGCCTGACCTCTGACCCCTCCATGCCAACATATAGGACTGGACAATGACAATGACTGGACTGGACAATGATGTATTTTTTGTTATTATTACTATTTATTACTGTTATTGGTTAATTACTGTGTTTTCGTTATTATCATTGCCATTATAATTTATTTATTGTTTTCGTTATTATCATTGCCATTATAATTATTTATTGTATAATTTTTGTATGCTAATGTCATTATTTGTATGTGATTGTTGTATTGTGCTGTGTAATACAGGGCCCCGTTGAAAAGCAGTGCCATCACTGAATTGGGTTACCCTGTATAAAAATGACGGAAAATAAAAAATAAAATAAAATAAAAATTCGTAATATGGGCATTTTGGGCAAAACTCCTGTTATGCATCCCCTACACATACTATACACATACTATATCATGCTTATTTAGGAACATAAAGACACTATATCTAAAGAAAACGTATGCAAAGAAAAGAAACAAAGAAATGAATTATATACAACTTGTGTTTTTCAAAATTAACCGAAAAAAACTGGTTACTAAAGTGCATTCAGTACACTTAGACTATTTTAGGATCATGAGGCCATCAAAGGGAAACATGTGCAATGAATGAAAGAAAGAAAATGAATCAGATGAACTTACGTTTTTCAGGTCAGATTTGTCTTTTCTTCTGGCCCAGACTAGCAGTGCGAAGTAGAGAACAAGAGTAGAGATGACGAACGAGAAGACCACAGGGTTCTCGTCCAGTTGTCCGAACTTAGCGAACACCGTCGAGAAGTTGATGGAGTTCGGGGCGACTGCAAAATCAGCCCCGAAGGCAGTCAGGTGGTTACACAGGCACTCTACCTCTTCAGAGTTCGTGTTTGCACCAACCTACGTAACAAAGGAATGTATATAACATCAATGATATGATATGAATCTTTATTGCATGTTCTTGTCCAGGTGGACTAAATGCACAGATGTGACCAAATGTGGTCGAGAGGATAAAAATATGAGTATTGCATACTGGAACGCTATATTCTAATGCTAATTGCTAGGAGACTACATATTACAACAATACTACATACTACCTATCATCTACTACATACTGTTAGTTGCCCTTAATATGTTCCTGACAGAATACAAAAGTTACCAAAAAAGCCAGAATTGATTAGCAAGGAAATGATGACTCTGATTTCACTCTCGGCCAACAAATGCTGATATAGCAGAACGAACCGCTACTAGCATTGAAAGAAAGTACAAATGAGGGATTGATCTTTATATTTATAATATTTACAGTTTGAAAATAAGTAAATGCTTTAAAGAATGTTTAAATCTATGATACTTTATGTTATACAATTATAGTATGTTATAGTATGTTATAGTTATGTATGTTATAGTTATACATCTAATGTTGCCAATTTTAATGACATGAATTATCAATGTAGTTTGCCGCACACATATATTCTGTAAGTGGGATGACATTATCCAATGCCAATATATGACAAATCTGATTGTGCTAAACTGCAGGAAGACATAGATAACATCAGCCTATGGGAGCGCAGGTGGCTTATGGAGTTTAACCCTTCAAAGTGTGAAGTAATAACCATCCCATCATCCAAAACTCCAATTACTCACTCGTATGTCCTCCACAACCAGCTCCTAAACAAGGTAAGTTCCACTAGATACCTTGGGGTCACTATATCCTCCAACCTGACCTGGGGCAGCCATGTTGATGCCGTATCATCTAAGGCCAACAAAACACTTGGCATGCTGAGACGCTGCCTGAGGATCGCCAGCACTGCGGCCAAGGAAAGGGCCTACATGGCCCTGGTAAGACCACAGGTGGAATATGCTTGCAGTGTTTGGGATCCACACACCCAGGATCAGGTGGGTCGCATAGAGATGGTGCAGAGACGAGCTGCCCGGTACGTTACCAACAACTACTACCGTACAAGTTCTGTCACCGACATGATTAATAAGATGGGCTGGCAATCTTTAGCACACCGACGGAAGAACGCCAGACTTGCCACATTGTACAAGATAACCAACAATGTTATTTCTGTGCCGCACGCATCTAGAGTTGTCCCGGCGACTCGATGCTCCCGCCGCACCAACCACGCTCTCAAGCTGCAGACCATCGCGAGTAGGAACAACTTTTACAGGCTCTCGTTCTTCCCTCGTACCATCAAAGAGTGGAACGAACTTGAGCCTGGTGTGGCGGAGGCGGGGTCCCTCGCCCAGTTCAAATCTGGACTGGCGAGGACCCTGCTGCATTGAGTCGCCCCTGCACGTCTTGTATATATGTATATATATATATGTCCTACTAACACACTAAATGCACTGTCTTGTCCTTTACACCAACAGACTCAGTTATTTACGTTCCGTAGTGTCCCCTCCTTTAGTTACCCTTGTTTTTATTTGTACCGGTCACTTGTTTTGTAATTAACAACATGTGCAGCTGCTAGTAATCCAATGTAAATTGGGCTCAGCAGTACTTAAGATGAAGATGATGATGATCCATACATGTATTTAGCTTTGTTCAATCTTAGTTGTAGACCATACGAAAGGCTCTGTATTTTCGGGTTAATAACGAGTATTTAAAATCTTTCATTTTAGCCGACCATGTTCTATAGCACCTCAATAATAGTAACATAAAATGACAGAAGAGGTTATCATTATACACGTTAATCAGCAAATTATAAAATTGATTAAAAGGATAAAAGCAAAATCATTGCAAACAAATTAAAAACCCTTTGGCATATTTTTGAGTACTCGTAGAATGTCCAAATCAACATAAAATGTCCTAAGTACGGGATTACTACATCATTTATGACTTACTCTATCTGAACTTCTGAAACATACAATTAATAAAAGGAAAATGGCTACCAAAGCCAAGCTGACATATATGCAATCTTTTGCTACACATAGACAACATTTTACAACTTACATGACATCCGCGTGAACTCCAACCCTCCGTGATTTCATCCCAGAACAGACAAGCCGCCGAGAAAAACTCTGCTCGGATTTCTGTTGAGTTTTCACTCGAAACTGGATATGTCTGGAGGGGTACCGTAGTGGGTACTTGACGAGCTCTTGTTGTGCTGCTAGGTTTTACGGTGGTGCTATTTGCTGAAGTTGTACTTTCTGATTCTTCAGTTAAAGTTTGGAAGGTGGTAGCTTCAACATTTGTGGTATTTCCCCCATGAGGTCTTTGCGTTTCCCCTGATGTTGTTCTTAATGTGTATTGCTGTCCTTGTGGTGTTGTTCTTGACCCGGATTGTACTACAGGTGAGCTTTCTTCGGGAAAAGCGGTTGTTCCTGGCAAACTTTGTTCCGGAAAGGCGGACGGTCCTGGTGAGCTATGTTCCGAAGAGCCGGACGTTCCCGATGAGCTGTCCTCCGAAGAGCCGGACGCTCTCGGTGAGCTGACCTCCGAAGAGCCGGACGCTCCCGATGGGCTGTCTTCCGAAGAGCCGGACGCTCCCGATGGGCTGTCTTCCGAAGAGCCGGACGTTCCCGGTGTGCTGTCTTCTGAAGAGCCGGACGTTCCCGGTGAGCTTTCTTCCGAAGAGCCGGACGGTCCCGGTGAGCTGTGTTCCGGAGAGCCGGACGGTCCCGGTGAGCTGTGTTCCGGAGAGGTAGACTTTCCTGGTGAGCTGTTTTCCGAAAAGCCGGACGGTCCCGGTGAGCTGTGTTCCGGAGTGCCGGATGGTCCCGGAGAGCTGGACGGTCCAGGAGAGTCGTGTTCCGGAGAGCCGGACGGTCCCGGAGAGCTGTGTTTCGGTAAACCGGACGGTGCCGGAGAACTGGACGGTCTTGGAGAGCTGTATTCCTCGGAGCCGGACGGTCCCGGAGAGACGGACGGTCCTGGTGCACCAGACGGTTCGGGAGAGCTGAACGGTCCAGGAGAGCTGTGTTCCAGAGAGCCAGACGGAAAGCTTAGTTGTGGAGATCCGGGCGGCCTCGGTGAACTGTGTTCCGGGAAGCTGTGTTCCAGAGAGCCGGACGAATTTTGGAGACTTTGATCCGGAGAGATTGGTTCGTTTCCACAAGTTGGAGATCCATTGCCCTGGGAATTTCCACAGCTTCTCTTGCTTCGGTTTAGAGAAGATACTCCATCTTGTATTACTTCTCTGACTCCAATGAAATAAGCGCCGGTTCCGTTTAGAGCTTTAGATGGGATTACAAGTCTCACTGAACCATACAGGGACGTTTCAACCGCCTTATAGACATAATCCGTCTCGTTTGGTGGCTGGCCTTTCTGAGCAAAAACCTCAAAATCGACGCTTTCTGAAACATCCGTCAATCTCAGTATCAAAGCTTCATGGTCAGAATTTCTCAGGACTTTATAGTACAGCATCTCTCCGGGACTTGAGAACCGATTCTTTTGTACGTCTGCACTTTCGGAGCCGTTGTTGGGAAGCTTTAAAGTGATGAAATCCTCTAGATCCTCCATGACAAGAGTCTTGTTTTCGTCTGCTATGAAAAAGACCTCCATCACAGGCGTGGAGAGTCGGGGGGCTGTCGTGTTCCAGCTGTAGGGGTTCTTGTACATCAGCAGAATCTACAGATTTTAGGACAATATGAAAAAATGAATTAATTACCTTTATTTCTCATTCCTGTCATAACTAGTTAAGTAAAGGTTATGGTAATTAAAATTTTATGTACAACAGTAGTGATGCAAACGTGAATACTTTTATCGGGTTTGTTAATGCCTCTATTTATTTAGTTATTTATTCACAAACACTTGTTTACACGAGCCTAAAAGTGCTTGTGAACTCTTTAAAACAAGTGATTGTGATATCAGAACTTTGACATCTAAACAGCGATCCAAGTCGGATATCTTACTATATCTACAGTGTGCTAGTTTGCGCCGGTTCATCGTCTTCTCGCTTCTTAAGAGTTGTAAGCGTAAGAACAGATGCACAGTATAATGCATGGCCATGGCTTTTAATGCATGAAGAATATGTAATTTCATAAAGATCACCAAGAAACGGAAGCAAGAAGCGAACTGGACAGAATGAAAAAAGCAACGGGCAAACTGAAATAAAAGAGAGTCTGCAATAAGAAGTTGTTACAAGAAATTTTGCTACAACAATGCTGTTTTTTTTTTCATAAAAAACATGTCATTTTCATTGAATAAATGTACTGTCATTAGACAATTAAACTTACCACAACATCGACGAATTCCTTTGCACCGTCGTCATTGAACAGCACCTCCTTCCCGGGCAGAATGACGCTTCCATGACCGGTTTCTATCACCCGATTGCCCACGTCATCAGGGAAGGACCTGTCAATCAGCAGCTCGAAGGAGGGGCGAATCACCTCAAAACGAGGCTCCCCCACGAGCAGGCGTTTGTTGATGACCCGGATGTACTTGTTGAGTGCCGCCATTAGTTGGGTCATCAGGTTCTTCAGCTATAAAAACGAACGATTGTCTTTACTACAATGGTGAAGGTTACTCATCCAGGGTGGTAATAAAATAATAGAGTGGTTTAGTCTTTTCAAACTGGATTGAAATTTAATTGGTAGACGTTTCTGGTGTACGTCCGACACCATTCATCAGTACAAGTGATATTGTTTTTGATTTTTTTTTTCATAAAACAATCCCTTGTACTGATGAAAGGTGTCGGACGTACACCTGAAACGTGTACCAATTAAAAATCCATCCAGTTTGATCATGAAAAGACTAAACCACTCTATTATTTTATTTGTCTTAACTATGTGTAAAAGTTACCTTTGACCCAGTGTTGACGTCACACTTCAAAGAAGCCACGTGACAAGTTTCACTGGGTCAGTCTACTGAGGAAAACTGGTCAAAAGCTGTAGGTGAGAGAATTTTTTGTGTTGGACCAAACGTCTTAACTTTAAACGTGTTAAAGTTGTTAGAGGTATGTGATAACCCATTGGTGTATTGTCGAGGTCACCTTTGACCGGTTTTGTCATTTTCATCAATTGTCGACTTGATGATCACCATTGTTGTCGACAGAAGAAAAATGTATACAGTAAGAGTAGATTCATTTCACAAGCTAATCGACATCTCTCACACGGCAGTTGATCCTGAGTAAGTCGTCTGGATCCGGAAGGTATCTTTTTTTCTCGTGCCACAGATTAGGCAACCGTGTTCAATGCATTGTCATTTGTTACGGTTCAAAATCCCAAGAGTGGAACATAAAACATAACAATTTTCTTTCAAAGAAGTATCATGAAAAGATATGTACACAATGTGCAGCAGGTATTGAATTACATCATTACCTCCATGAAAAATGGTGATATTGTTTTTGGTGCGTCTGTGTGTGTGTGTCTGTCTGTGTTTCCGGACATTTGCAGCCAGCATAACTTTTGAACTATTGTATAGATTGTAATGATATTTGGTATGTGGGTAGGTTTTAGGTAGGCAAAGGTCAAGGTCAAATGTGGGTCTCCTGGTCGATGACCTTGGTACTGCAGCAGAACCTCCGGATTTTGTATCTTTTGTCCTGAACATGCTATGGTCCTGACTTTTTTGGTGACAGATAGCTTTTTCTGTCAGGAATAAGTGGTGTGGGTTTGGTCCCCCTAGCAGCTTGTTCTGGAACTACAGGAGACATTATGGGAGTTTTGAAATTCTCAAGAACAATAAGAATAATTCTCACCAGCATCCCCTCGTTGGCAGAACGAAGACCGAATTCCTTCTCGTACCAAATTATTTCAGCGGGAGAAAGGTCGAAGTTAGGCGTATATTCAGTCAGCATTTCCAGCGAGGATTCTAATAAGTTGCTAATGATGCTCGCCACATCTGTCGAAGGACAAAGTTATGATAGATAAACATTATTTAAAAGTAAACATTACACTTTTTTTACAATTTTTACAAAGAAATCGAGTTTCAAAGGCTCATAACTTCTCGTAGAAATGATATATCGAAACAAAATTAACGTCTTTGTAATCATTGTTTCCTGTTTTATTAGCCATGAAGTTACATTAAAAAACAATATTTGATTATTTACCACTCCCTTTGCATTATAAGTGCAAAAGAACATGGTCCATATGAGGTTAAAGTTCAAGCTCAAAGCTACCAATGTGCAACCGCTATGATATCAAAAATATTCCACAGACACCGTATTTTTCAAAAACAATGATGAGAATTCACCACCTCAGGTGGTACCGATATGTGAAATTTGGGAATCTGGCCCATGGACTATTAAGATAACATTCTTGATAAGATGCCCATAGATGGTACGAATCTAAAGAAATGTGGCGTTCCAAATTAACCCCCGGGAAGTATAAAATGAAAATTCTTGATAACAACTGCTGACAGTTTCAGACTTTATATTGATATTAATGTTAGCAGTAACGCTACACAATGTAAAACGAATGGGTGATATCAATTATGATACACAATAGAGGCTAAACATGTAGTGTGGTGTAGCCCGTTAGTCCCATGCATAAGGCCTATATCCTACAGTGAACAACAGCTTGTTGATAATAGACGATACCACAACACATACATCACGGGGGCGTCGAGTTAGTTTAAATTAGTTCAATACAAGAAAAAAACAGATACAAAGAAAACATGAAACCGCATCATGCATATGGATCCTTATAACTAAAAAGGGAAATTAAAGAAATCTAAATTACTTTTAGCATTGTACGCGTACACGCAAACACAAACGAAACGTACTTTCCGTGGAAGGATATTTCATTTAACGGAGGTAACAGGCAGTCGTTACTCATATGTATAAAAGAAAAGCAAAAGTAAAGGCGACAATATAGTTTCATAATCATATACTGTCACCCAATCTATGACATTCCCATTATGATTGCATTGCTGTTACGGAAAAGAAATAAACATGAAGCCCCAACAGTTCAGTTACTCACCCGAGGCCAGGGAGTGAAAGTCATCCAGGTACAAGTCGTATAGTCGGGCCTCAAACAAACCAATGGTGTTGGTCAGCAGTTGTACAGCTTTCTCCTACAGAACCAAAGCTTCAGTTGGTGATGGTAGACTTGAATTAAAAAGACTTACGTACATATAATAAAGAACAGCTTATTACGAAAGACAGATACAATGTTTAGATATGGCATCATCAATTGTGGTTTTAGGGCATGTTATCTTTAGAATCCTAGTCAAAATGTTTAACCCTCAAACCACCATATGGGGTCAGTTAGGCGTATATAAATGTGCCGATTTGACATTCCTTGTCGGAAACAAAATCCCTTCTATGAGTTTGTTTTTATATATGTCTTATAACTTCTCACACGTTTTACTGAGATGGGAACATTGTTGATTGACTTATCCTAGAAAGTGTATGTGTGGTCCAGTCTGGACGAAACTGACCCCAGCATTTTTAACCGGTGTTTTTAACACGTGAGTATTTTGCTGTCGTCAATTTTTCAAATATAATATGAATACCTTTGTGGCGTATGTTAACTCATCAGTTTTGTACGTCAGTGACTCAAGAGCACTAACGTACTGGATCAGGTCTCCAACCGAGGTTCCACAACCCCAGTTATCCTCCAAGAACGTTGCTATCAACAAACGGTCCTGCCAAAAAAAATTGGTACATTGACTTACCATGCCGATAACTGTTACAAACAAACGATGAAACCAACTCTTCCACTCTCAGTCAATTCAAGGCTCCCTGCAGAAACCATCTTTTGTCCTGATTCTTTTAAACTTGCATTCATATCTAGTTTTTCCCCAAAGCCTTCCATCCATCCCAGTTAGTATCTCCACTCTTTGCACATATTGCTGCTAGGTAGGTATGCCTTCTTAGGTTTTTCCTATAATAGTACTGTACATTCTATAACCAGTTATAATATGTTATTTTCATTCCAGGTCTTGTACTTATAGTAGATTTTTTTTATTTGATGTTTGTCTCCACGTTTTTATTTGTGGGTTATTTAATACCAGTCACCACTGACTTGATATAACCTGTGTATTGATTTTGTTGTCATTGCCAATAAAGAAAGAAAGAAAGAAAGAAAGAAAATGAGTAATTGTACCGTTAAAGTTTGATAAAAGTATCGGATGAGACTAGCATGT